CACGATGAAGTGAAGACTTGTTGTCTACTGTGAAAAGGAGAAAACTGAAGTGGTCTGGCCATGTAACAAGATCGTGTGGCCTACCCAAGACCATTCTTCAGGGAACTCTGCAGGGGAGAAGGAGAAGAAGGCAAAGGAGGAGGTCGACAGACTTCTTCTTCTTCTTCCTCGTTCTCGATGACAGCAGCTAGACAGTCAGTACGATGTCGCGTACAAACTGTGTAGTTCGCTTCAACTCTGAAAGACTGCCATAGAGTTTTCTCTCAAGGGGAGCCACATTCTGCCACGTCTGTGCGCTAAGGGTGGCGTAGCGCGGGCAGTGCTGAAGGATATGGTTGGCATCCTCTTGGTCGTGTCCACTTTCACAGATCACTGTTTCTCCCACTTTTAATTTGGTGTGCATGTGGTGTTTGAGTCTGTTGTGGCCACAACGGAGTCTAAAGATTGCGACCTGGTCTGCACTATTTAGTATGTAGTAGGGGTCATGTCTGTTGTGCTTAGGGTGGGACCTTTACCATCTGTTTCTTAAAGCAGTTTTTATTAGTGTTTTTGACTCTGAGAGATCCATGCCATCTTCAATCTGGGTCATTTTGGCTCCTTCTTTGGCTAAGTCGTCTGCTTTTTCATTTCCATGAATGTCACAGTGACCTGGTATCCACTGCAGAGTTTTGTTGGCTTGGGAGTTTAGATCACATAGGAGTGAAAGGAGTTGTCGTACTTGAGCTGTTTGTGGCTTTTGGAGAGCTTGTAGGACAGATTTGGCATCTGTGAGGATGGCGGTGTTGGCTTTAGAATTTTGGTGATTCAAGAAAATGGTGGCTGCTGTTTCGAATGCTGATGTTTCTGCTTTGTAGTTGGAGGATAGAGATCCTGTGGGGGTGGAATGGCTTTCTTTTGTCTCATCTATCTATTCTAAGTAGATACCTTGCCGATTTGAAGGCGCTGAAATAGAGAAGTGGGATTCACTGCTGTTTTGTCGCGACAGAGCCTCATCCCTTTACACAATGTTATCGCACAGGCTCGTAACTTTAAATCGCCTCCCGTCAAGCTGTCACGTCGCGGAACTTCGTTCGAGGACAAACGAACACGGTGTGCTTAGCCTAGCGATGACGTCAGTCCCCTGGACATATCCATCGACTGTCCTCAGAGCGAATAAGGCATCCCTTAATTGCCAAATTGGCATCTTTGTAGCTTGCAAAATTAAGAATGAGGCTGTCTTGAGCAGCACTGACACATGAATAATAATATCAGCAAAAGATGTATTTATCATTCAGCCTCTCTCTAACTACTAACAGAGCATATATTGTCAGCATGGCACTAATCTTTTTTGTTTATTGACGTTTTAACCACCTATAGCTCCTGTTTGGCATTTACTCATTGTTTTCTCCCCACTAATAACTTACCTGGCCCATAGGAGTCGGGCTGGCAAAAGGAGGAATCGTCTAGTGAAGATATATAAAGGTAGAATATAAGGAGAATTTAACGGGGAGCTATAGGCACTCGGCTGTCAGCGTCTGGGCAGAAAACAATAACTAAGCCTACCCCTCCCCCCCCCCCCCCCCTTTCCACCGTCACCCCAGCTAGACACCAAGTTCTATAATTAGCATTGACACATTTCCCCACTTTGTTACAACACAATGTTCTGTTCGGAGAACTGAGAAGTGCGATGAAGAACATAATTTGATCATATGATCGGAAACTGTTGTGTGCTGCCTTTGTCCAGCTTTGTAGAGTATCTGATTGTAGACTTGATCTGCTCGGGACAGCGTCACTGGTAAAGTATCAATTGATTTTTTGTCATCACACAGGACAGTTTTTATTACATATATTTAACGGGTCCAGTGCACGTCGATATTTTGTGTGGGGGTGTAGAAAGTACGAGTAAAGTACTGGAGGCCAGGACCAGCAGTTTATTGCCTCTCACTTTCAGTTTGTTTTCTGGCCTAGTAGTGTTTCTTTTTCTGTGCCGATCAAGTCAGTTCCTATTAACCCAGTAACTTCCGTCATACGTTTATTCATAATATTGTTTCTTGACACTACCGTATATTTTAGCTCTTTCACATTATATTACAATGTTTACAATGGTGTGTGGGGCGGGGGAAGGCGAAAGTAGGGGTATAAAATATTATGGAGAGAGAGAGAGAGAGAGAGAGAGAGAGAGAGTGTGTGTGTGTGTGTGTGTATGTGTGTGTGTGTGTGTGTGTGTGTGTGTGTGTGTGTGTGTGTGTGTGTGTTGTGAAGGAAGACGGTGGGGGAGGGAGAAATAGTCTTCGTGAATGACGGCCGGTCAGTTCTATAAACCACTAGCCGCCACTGCATATATAACATACATATAATAATATAATTAACTTATATAAGGGCTACACAACACCCAAGAGGATAATGATTTATTCTGCTCCATACACCCGAAAGCAGAGAATGAACCAGACCACGTGCCTTACATCATGTATGCACATCCACAGAGAGAGAGAGAGAGAGAGAGAGAGAGAGGGGGGGGGGAGAGTAGAGAGAAGAGAGTGGAGGTTGCGGGAGAGAGAGAGCAAGAGAGAGAGCGAGAGAGAGAGCGAGCGAGAGAGAGAGAGAGCGAGAGAGAGAGAGAGAGAGAGAGAGAGAGAGAGAGAGAGAGAGAGAGAGAGAGAGAGAGAGA